ATGTCTAGGTGCAAAGATTACTGCAGATGCAGACTGTGGCCAGGAAATCAGAAGACGCTTACTTCTTGGGAGGAGAGCAATGTCCAATCTCGATAAAATAGTAAAGAGTAGAGACATCAGAATGGCAACAAAGATCCGCCTAGTCAAAGCCATGGTATTCCCTGTAGTAACCTACGGATGTGAGAGCTGGACCTTAGGGAAGGCTGAGCGAAGGAAAATCGATGCTTTTGAGCTGTGGTGTTGGAGGAAAGTTCTGAGAGTGCCTTGGACTGCGAGAAGATCAACCAGTCCATCCTCCAGGAAATAAAGCCCGACTGCTCACTGGAGGGAAAGATACTAGAGACAAAGTTGAAGTACTTTGGCCACATCATGAGGAGACAGGAAAGCCTAGAGAAGACAATTATGCTGTGGAAAGTGGAAGGCAAAAGGAAGAGGGGCCGACCAAGGGCAAGATGGATGGATGGCATCCTTGAAGTGACTGGACTGACCTTGAGGGAGCTGGGGGTGGTAACGGCCGACAGGGAGCTCTGGCGCGGGCTGGTCCATGAGGTCACGAAGAGTCGGAGACGACTGAACGAATGAACAACAACAACAACATAGTTTTAAAAGGGTGATGAGACCAGAAAGCTTTCTATGACATCAACTTTTCTAAATGTGGGACTATTTGTTGGGGGAGGGTATGATAGAACCATTTTTTTTGTCATGTCAGGAGCGACTCCAAGTCGCTTCTGGTGTGAGAGAATTGACTGTCTGCAAGGACATTGCCCAGGGGACACCCGGATGACTTGATGTTTTTATCATCCTTGTGGGAGGCTTCTCTCATGTCCCCGTATGAGGTGCTGGAGCTGATAGAGGGAGGTCATCCGCTTCTCCCCGGATTCGAACCTGTGACCTGTTGGTCTTCAGTTCTGTCGGCACAGGGGTTTAACCCACTGCGCCACCGGGGGTTCCAATAGAACCATTGATACCATGAAATACTTGTAGTTTAAACTGGAAAAGTCCAGATGTAGATTAGTACCTAAAAGAGACCTAAGTTTCTTATTACTGTCTTCTGGAAATGTTAATATTAAATTAGTTTTTTGCTTTTTGTGTCAGAATATTGAAAGATAGTCATGGTCATACCAGGGCATTCCTGTCATTCTGACAGGAAGCTGAATGTAAAATTTGCAAGGTGGAAAGAGAGGACAATTTAACTTCACCTACCTGTCAAAGCCAGGTGGTGTGGGATGTTGTTGGTCTAGCCCAGGTATGGGCAAAATTTGCCCCTCCAGTTTTTTTTTAAATTTCAACTCCCACAATTCCTAATGGCTGGTAAGCTGGCTGGGATTTCATAGAATCATAGAATCATAAAGTTGGAAGTGACCTCATGAGCCATTCAGTCCAACCCCCTGCAAAGAAGCAGGACAATCGCATCCAAAGCACCCCTGACAGATGGCCATCCAGACTCTGTTTAAAAGCTTCCAAAGAAGGAAGGATTTCTGGGAGATGAAGTCCAAAACACCTGGAGGGTCAAAGTTTGCCTATGCCTGGGCTAGCCAGTAACATGCATATGCCCCATTATAGACTGGACAAGCCCCACATTCAGGCTAATATTGGAAATGGCAATTCTCATGGGAAAGAATGCCCTAAGTGTTGCATCCTGCTTTTAATTGCTGCTTCTTAGAGCCAAAAAACAAGGGTACAGAAATCCAGTCCCCTAGATCTCTACGTTATAGCTTTTCCCAGCAAACTCACCTCATTGGCTACAGCTATGATAGGAACGAGAGACCAGATTGCCAATATCCGCTGGATAATGGAGAAAGGCAGGGAGTTTCAGAAAAACATCTATTTCTGCTTCATTGACTATTCTAAAGCCTTTGACTGTGTGGATCATAATAAATTGTGGCAAGTTCTTGGTGGGATGGGCATCCCAAGCCACCTTGTCTCTCTCCTGAGGAATCTGTACAAGGACCAAGTAGCAACACTCAGAACTGACCACGGAACAACAGACTGGTTCAAGATTGGGAAAGGCGTACGGCAAGGCTGCATCCTCTCACCCAACCTTTTTAACTTGTATGCAGAACACATCATACGATGTGCGGGGCTTGATGAATGCAAAGCTGGGGTGAAAATTGCTGGAAGAAACATTAACAACCTCAGATATGCAGATGACACCACTCTGATGGCCGAAAGCGAGGAGGAGCTGAGGAGCCTTCTAATCAAGGTGAAAGAAGAAAGCGCAAAAGCGGTTGCAGCTAAACATCAAAAAAACCAAGATTATGGCAACAAGAATGATTGACAACTGGGAAATAGAGGGAGAAAATGTGGAGGCCGTGACAGACTTTGTATTTCTAGGCGCAAAGATTACTGCAGATGCAGACTGTAGCCAGGAAATCAGAAGACGCTTACTTCTTGGGAGGAGAGCAATGTCCAGTCTCGATAAAATAGTAAAGAGTAGAGACATCAGACTGCCAACAAAGATCCGCCTAGTCAAAGCCATGGTATTCCCTGTAGTAACCTACGGATGTGAGAGCTGGACCTTAGGGAAGGCTGAGCGAAGGAAGATCGATGCTTTTGAGCTGTGGTGTTGGAGGAACGTTCTGAGAGTGCCTTGGACTGCGAGAAGATCCAACCAGTCCATCCTCCAGGAAATAAAGCCCGACTGCTCACTGGAGGGAAGGATACTAGAGACAAAGTTGAAGTACTTTGGCCACATCATGAGGAGACAGCAAAGCCTAGAGAAGACAATGATGCTGGGGAAATGGAAGGAAAAAGGAAGAAGGGCCAACCAAGGGCAAGATGGATGGATGGCATCCTTGAAGTGACTGGATTGACCTTGAAGGAGCTGGGGGTGGTGACGGCCGACAGGTAGCTCTGGCGTGGACTGGTCCATGAGGTCACGAAGAGTTGGAGATGACTGAACGAATGAACAACAACAATATGATATGCCTAACAACTCCAAATGTCACAAGGCATAAATTATTGCAGAAGTGAGGAGGGTTTCTTCTTGATATAGAAACTTCTGTAAAGTGTCTTGTTGTCCCATGATCACCAGTTAATCCTATATTTCTTTTTCTTTCAATAGCATCTGTTTTTTCCAACATTGCAAATGAATTGCAAGGTACGTCTGTGCCAGAAACTCCTTTCAACATACATGTGAAACAAGACACATATGAGTCAGAAACTCCTTCCCACAGACATGTGACATCTGCAACTGACATCTCAAAGGAAAGGTATGAACTTATGAATATACACATACACAGAAATAACATGTTTGGTTGGGTTTTTTTTAACTAACAAGCACGTTATCTAACTCAGTGGTTCTAAAATTGTGCTGCCCCGGGTGTTTTGAACTTCAGCTCCCACAACTCCTAACAGCTGGTAAACTGGCTGGGATTTCTGGGAGCTGAAGTCTAAAACAGGCAGTTAAAGCAGTTTGAGAAGCACTGCTTTAATTCATTGGCAATTATAATTTTATCTTAAATTTAAGTTTCAAAATCTTCTCAATATACAGGCCATATTTTCTTCAGGGTTAGTCTATAGTTCCCAGAAACAATTGAAAAGTGGGTTAAATAGTATTTCGGAGAGTTGTGAATGGATCAATATAATATTTTCCAACATACAAGAGCTGCATTCTAGGAATGAGTGGGTTAGATCCAGACTCTGTTATAATTAGAGGCACATTGAAACTATCATGATTTAAGGAAATGTATTCAGTGTATGGTCATATAGCTTTATTGGGCCAAAAATGCACAAAAATACATCATGCAAGGTTTCAAATCTTTGTTGACTTCTTCATCAGGTAAAGCTGTCAAAACTCATACAGGAGAAGAAAAATTGTGATGTTAGGGTCAGAGGCCACATTTTGTTTCAGCTTTTACTTCTGTTGTTGGTTAAGATGGTTTAGATGAGTTTCAAATCTTTATTGACTTCTTCATCAGATAAAGATGTCAATACCTTCGGTCCTCCAGGTGTTTTGGACTTTAGCTCCTAGAACATTGGACAAGCCATTCAGTGCTTCTGAGAGTGTTGAATCCCCAACACCTGTAGGGCCAAAGTTTGGACACCTCTGGTCAAGACTGAGGGATATCAATGTAGGCAGAGGCCTCTCACTGTCTTGACCACTTAGGATTTAAGTTATTCATGATTAACTGATATTCCATTGATTTCAATATATTTGTCAAAGGAGACCTAAATGTGGATTCAACCCAAAGTTTAGAGTTTTGTTTTTTGCATCCAGAAGATACAAAATATTCTTCCATAAACCATATCCTTGACCTAAAATACTGACACTTAAATGCACAGGAGAAAGCAAACCCTATTTGAAACTCATATTTGAATCCCATTCCTCAGAAGAAGGACCCAATTAAAAAGCAATATATGTTAAGATAATTTGAAAGGAAAGTCTCCATAAAAATTCTTTATGCAGCAGGAAATAAGGATGAGCCAGTAGATGGCACTCCCTTCTTTCACTGGTGTTAATTTTAATGTATTGTTGGAAACCTTTTTTTAAGATAGTAAACCCAACCATGGTCTACAGAAGTATAAAGTGAAAATTAGGTTGAATCAAATCCTAGTCCAATTATGGTTGCAAAGAGTTCCAAATTATTGTATCAACACTATAGTTCTCACAACCATCCAAGAGTTATTTGTCCAAACACCCAGATCTTTTGGACTTTTCACACTATCCTGATAATTAATCACTGCTGCTTAGAGCAATTGTTTTAATAGGGAAAGGAAAACATAAGATAGGTTCAGTGCTATACAAAAGGGAAATATCATATTAAGGTTCTCCACTACTATTCACTTTGTATTCCTTCCTGTATTTTTTCTGTTCTATCAACATAATCAAGGACTTTTTTTCTTGAACTCTTGTGATTTTTCATGATAGCTGCTGACATCTTTCTCTAGTGCTACTAATGGGTATGTTCCACATCTGATTCTTTGTTTTGACTTTAAAGAGGATGGGTGTATAACTTTCAAACACCAGCAACCAGTACATGATATTTGAGGCTGCGACGATATTTTCAAAAAGGTACTTTTTTGGATTAGAGTTTCAGATTTCTCCAGAATAGCAAATGACCTGGGGATTCTGAGATTTATAATCCAATAAGTAATTTTCCTCAAGCACACTGAGGTGTAACCACCATAAGTCCAATTGTAAGCATGTCTCTTCTAGCCTTTAAATGCCTTTCTTAGCAACAGGCATGATATAAAGATTTTAAAATTAATTAAGTTTTTATATTTAAAGAAAAATACTTGTTGGCTGAATTTTGAAAGTTTAAAAAAAATTGAAGAGAAAGGAATGTTTTAAAAATGCCACATATGAAATATTACATTCATATATTTTCTAGTGCCTGGGCATATGTTCTTTTACTTGTATAGTGGAAAATAGTAATATATAATACTATCATTGTGCTATGCTAATAATTATAATATAGTGTATGTTCATTTAATATTGATCATAATAATATAATATAATATAATATAATAAATATAATACTAATAATAGGAGCCCCCCGTGGTGCAATGGGTTAAACCCTTTTGCCAGCAGGACTGACGACCAACAAGTCGGAGGTTCAAATCTGGGGAGAGCATGGATGAGCTCCCTCTGTCAGCTCCAGCTCTCCAGGCGGAGGCATGAGAGAAGCATCAAAACATCTGTGTTTCTCAGGTAGCTCCTGACACAAAAAATACTAATAACAATACAATATAATAATTGTGTATTTTATATTACATGCCATGTTACTAATAATATAGTGGTATAGTACAATATAGTAATATATAATGCTAATATTGTGCTATGCTAATAATATAATATAATGTATGTACATATTACTTGTAAGCAGCTCTGAGTCCCCTTCGGGGTGAAAAGGGTGGGGTATAAATGTCGTAAATGAATAAATATTTCTGAATGAAGAAAGAGGTCACATAGGATGACTGACAAAGCTCATTTCAATCCTTATTTCTGCATCTCATTCCAGATCCTCACAAACAAAGCAAAACTTTATTTCAATTATATTACCAATTCTTCTTGTCCTCATTCTGGTTCTTGCGGCCATTGCTATTGTTGTATATATTAAGATCAGACAGCAAAGGAAGTTTGGTAAGTAAAACTATCAACATTCTTGCTCAGTATCACACAGTTGGCTTCTGTTAGAACAGAAAAAAATTGAGCCAGAACAACTTATATACAAAGTATTGCAGTTTGCATTAACAGTATACAATGCAAGATGAAAGTTGGGCTACAGCTCTGGAGAGCAGGGTTTGATTTCCTGTTTAGCCATGGAAACTCAATGGATAACTTTGGGGGACTCACACACTCTCAGCCCTAGAAATCACCTTAGAGCAGGCATGGGCAAACTTCGGCTCTCCTGGTGTTTTGGATTTCAACTTCCACAATTCTTAACAGCCTATCGGCTGTTAGGAATTGTAGGAGTTGAAGTCCAGAACACCTGGAGGGCCGAAGTTTGCCCATGCCTGCCTTAGAGTCACCATATGACAGAAATGACTTGAAGGCACACAGAAGCAAAAGAACTGATAAAACCCTCCATTCTCCTTGTGTGTATCAACATCACCTAACCCAAAAGAGGCAATCAGAGGAAGTCCTTTGAAAAAGATCTCTGTTCCTGATGATAGTTGCAGAGGAACTGGCATTCTTTTAAGATACTGTGATGCCAAGGCATGTGGGCATTTACATACCAAGAACAGAACCTTGTATTTAGTATAAGAAAAACAACAACAATACATTGGCTACTGGTGTTGTTATCTAAATATAGGTTCAATAGCATTTTAGTTCAACTGAACTTTGCCACAACTAAAGTTCCATGGAACTACACTTACATCAATGCAACAGTTAATACATTTCCAATACTTCACATTTTATAAAAATGTTTACAGATCACTTTTGGAAAAAGACAAAATAATAAACAAATTTCAAAGGCAGACAGGTTCACACTGGGCACAATACAAATCTCACCTGGAAACTAACAAAGTATATATGATCACTGCAAATCTCTTTTCTGAATGAATAATGCTGGTAAGTCATTCAAAATCCAGGTGTCTGGGTGTAGTGGAGGTTCCAGGAGTATTGTATACACAGTTCTGGTCTGAACATCTAATTATTAATTGCAGTAAGATTTTATTCTGAAGTACAATGGAAATTCCTGTGCTTCCCTTAGTCCCCCACAGTTGCCCTTCATGGGACACATGGAATACTTAATACAGCTAAGACTGATTTCCAAAAAGGACTTCTAAAATGTGCTGAGACTAAAGGTGTAAATCTAATCCTTGATGGGATTTCAATTGAAAGTGGCTACCTTGGCCCAATGACAGAACACCCCATAAGTTTTTAAAACCCATGAGAGAGATTGCCTCCAATATGAGACCAAAATGGCAAGATTTCTTTGGTTATGGTTTCACTGATGTATGCATTTTTAACTTTGCATAAACATATGCCTTTGTATAGTTTTGTGCCTCTTTTCCTGATTGTGATACATCTACTGATAGGCAGAGAGTTATCGATATTGATTTTCTCTCTCTCAAACACAGATACCATTTTGAGTCCCCTTTGTGGAGAGAAAAAACAGAGTATAAATAAACGCAAACATAATAACAAAGTAGATTAAACAGTACAGGCTGATTGTCCACAAAGACACAAAGAACTCATCCTATATTTTCCTCCAATCAACAGCTAATACATTTACAGAAATAGGAAATAGATTACAGGGGTGGAATGTGGCATGGAGGGGGGAGGGTGTTCCATCAGCCGAGGGGCCCCCATAGAAGTGGTGGTGGGGAAGGGGAGATGCGGAACAAGGAGACCAACAATTCGGCCTAGGGAACGTGCACCAACATTAGTAATTCCAAACCGGTCTCCTTATACGGTAAATTGGTGTAACCAGGTTGGCGGTCCCTCGGGATTGAAGGTGGTGTTGTTGAACGCCAGATCTGTCAATGGAAAAACCACCTTCATCCAAGACCTAAGTTTGGATGAGTGGGCAGATCTGGCGTGCATCACGGAGACCTGGTTGGACGAGTCTGGGGGGATGAATCTCACCCAGCTCTGCCTGCCAGGCTTCTCCGTGCAGCACCAACCAAGATCTGGAGGGCGGGGAGGCGGGGTTGCAGTGGTCTATAGAGATTCCATCCCTCTGACCAGGGGCCCCATCCCGCAGTCTACAAATTTTGGAGGCGTCTACCTGAGAGTGGGTGACCGGGACAGAATAGGGATTCTGGTAGTGTACCGTCCACCTCGCTGCACTACAGTCTCCCTACCTGAGCTAGCGGGGGTGGTCTCGAGCCTGGCGTTGGAGTCCCGGCAGCTCCTTGTGCTGGGGGACTTCAATGTCCACGCCGAGACGGCCCTTTCTGGAGCAGCTCAGGACTTCATGTCTGCCATGGCAACCATGGGGCTGTCCCAACAAGTAACTGGCCCCACTCACAGTGCAGGACATACATTGGACTTAGTTTTCTGCCAGGGATGGGAGGAAGGTGGCGGTGTTGAGGAGCTGACCATCTCTCCGTTGCCATGGACCGACCACTACCTGGTCAGATTTAGGCTCACTGCACCCCCTAACCTCTGCAGAGGTGGAGGACCTATTAGGATGGTCCGCCCCAGGAGGCTTATGGATCCGGATGGATTCCTGACGGCTCTTGGGGAATTTCCCGCCGCCTCGGTAGGTGACCCTGTCGACGCCCTGGTTGCTCTCTGGAATGGGGAGATGACTAGGGCAATTGACACGATCGCTCCGGAACGTCCCCTCTCAAGTAGCCGAGCTAAACCAGCGCCTTGGTTCACTGAGGAGCTGGCAGTGATGAAGCGAAGGAAGAGGGAACTAGAGAGTGTGTGGCGTTCGGACCCGTGCGAGCCAAATCGAACACGGTTTGTGTCCTTTCTGAGGACATACGCCGCGGCAATAAAAGCCGCAAAGAAGGCGTTCTTTGCGGCCACTATTGCGTCTGCAAAGAACCGTCCGGCTGAGTTGTTTCGAATTGTCAGAGGCCTTTTGAATCCCACCACCCAAGGTGGGATCCCTGACAACTCGACCTCTCGCTGTGAAGCTTTTGCTCGGTTCTTCGCAGACAAAGTCGCTTTGATCCGTTCTGGTCTGGATACCATGTTAAATGCAGTCTCTGTGGATGTAACAAGAGCACCTGCTTGTCCTATTTTGATGGATTCATTTCAATTGGTGAAGCCCGAGGATGTGGACAAGATACTTGGAGGAATGAGGCCGACCACATCCATCCTAGACCCCTGCCCATCCTGGCTTCTAAAAGAGGCCAGAGGGGGATTGGCTGAGTGGGTGGAGGTGGTGGTTAATGCCTCCCTTCGGGAAGGCAAAATTCCAGCGAGCTTAAAACAAGCTATAATAAAACCGCTGTTGAAGAAACCATCACTGGACCCCACTAAATTTGACAACTTTCGGCCAGTTTCCAATCTCCCCTTTTTGGGCAAAGTCCTGGAAAGCGTGGTGGCCTCACAACTCCAGGTATTCTTGAGAGACACGGATTATCTAGACTCGGCACAGTCTGGTTTCAGACCGGGACATGGAACCGAGACAGTCTTGGTCGCCTTAGTGGATGATCTGCGCCGGGAGCTCGACAGGGGGAGTGTGTCCCTGTTGGTGCTTCTGGACCTCTCAGCGGCCTTCGATACCGTCGACCACGGTATCCTTCTGGGGCGCCTTGCGGAAATGGGTCTCGGAGGCACTGTTCTGCAGTGGCTCCGGTCATTTCTGGAGGGTCGCTCCCAGAAGGTGTTATTGGGGGACACCTGTTCATCCCCACAACCATTGTCTTGTGGGGTTCCTCAGGGTTCTATTCTGTCTCCCATGCTGTTTAACATCTACATGAAGCCGCTGGGTGAGATCATCCGGAGTTTCGGGGTACGGTGTCATCTGTACGCAGATGATGTCCAACTCTGTCACTCCTTTCCACCTGCTACTAAGGAGGCTGTCGAGGTCCTGAACCGGTGCTTGGCCGCTGTGACGGTCTGGATGAGGGCGAACAAATTGAAATTGAATCCAGACAAGACAGAGGTACTCCTGGTCAGTCGCAAGGCCGAACAGGGCATAGGGTTACTGCCTGTGTTGGATGGGGTTACACTCCCCCTGATGACACAGGTTCGCAGCTTGGGAGTGATCCTGGATTCATCGCTGAGCCTGGAACCTCAGGTCTAGGCGGTGGCCAGGGCATTTGCACAGCTCAGGCTCGTGCGCCAGCTGCGCCCGTATCTTGGGAAGTCTGACTTGGCCACGGTGGTACACGCTCTTGTCACATCCCGCCTAGACTACTGCAACGCTCTCTACGTGGGGCTGCCCCTGAAGACGGCCCGGAAGCTGCAACTAGTCCAACGCGCGGCAGCCATGATTCTAACAGGAGCGGAGCGCAGGGAGCACACACCCCCCTGTTGCACCAGCTCCACTGGCTGCCGATTTGCTACCGGGCCCAATTCAAGGTGTTGGTACTGGCCTATAAAGCCCTAAACAGTTCCGGCCCAAGATACCTAGCTGACCGCATCTCGGCCTATGAACCCACCCAAACTTTGAGATCTTCCGGGGAGGCCCTGCTCTCGATCCCGCCAGCCTCTCAAGCAAGGGGTGGCTCCTCGGCTGTGGAATGCCCTTCCTGTAGATGTTAGGCTGGCACCATCTCTCATGACATTCCGTAGAAAGTTGAAGACCTGGATGTTTGTGCAGGCGTTTGAGTAATTCAGTGCAATTCTGGTAATTTGAACATAGGAACGGAACAATGACGTCGAATCTGGATCACGCTTGGATGATGAGGCGATCGGGGGTGGGTTTTGTGATTATGGTATATTGATGTTTGTCTATTAGCTAGTAATGAAATGTGTAATTTAACTGTTGTGGTATATTAATTATTGCTGTTTTTATTGTCTTTGTTGTTTGCTGTCTGGAAACTGCTGTGAGTCGCCCTCGGGCTTGAGATACAGTGGTATACAAGAATAGTAAATAAATAAATAAATAAATAGGAACAGATCAGCTGTCGAAAAGGACAAAATAACACAATCACTATGTTATGTTAGTGGCCAGTGAAAGCCAGTGTAACCATCATTTCTGGGATTTTCTTTTCAGAAATTTCTACACAGATGAAGGGAAAAATGGCACTAGCCGACCCAAAGTGTTCAGAAGAACAACTTAAAGAGGAAAATAATGCCTCGGCAGATGAAGAAGAGTCTACTACGGGCACAGGCAAAGGTAGAGTTTCATTAATCCTATGAGACTTCATGTTTTTCATTACACTGGCATCCCTTAATTTGCGGCACACTATTTCCCTAAATTGTATAATGTTTTATGGGATCCCAGAATGGCATTCAATTAAAATAATAAAAACAATTTAAAATGTCTCCAAATTAGTTGGCCTCATCATATAGGGATAGATTCCGTGGCAAATGCCGATCTAGCCCTGGTCATCCACAGAGCCGGCCAACTCCCATCAAATGATGTCATGCCGGCTCCATGGGTGCACAAATAGTGGAACTGTCCTGGCAACACAGGAGGTTTCCTATGTTGCCCAATCTATGGGGGAAGCCACATGCACAATGCATGCTCCAAGCTTTCCCCCATAAAATTGCCCTCCTGGAGAGGGGAGCCATGTGGGTGATGCAAGGCGTGGGGCGCCAGATTCCCCACACCTTGAAGCGAAGTGGACTGTCAGCAACCATCTAAAATGTACAAGCTGGGTTTAGAAAAGGCAGAGGAACAAGAGACCAAATTGCCAATATCCGCTGGATAATGAAGAAAGGCAGGGAGTTTCAGAAAAACATCTATTTCTGTTTTATTGACTATTCTAAAGCCTTTGACTGTGTGGATCATAATAAATTGTGGCAAGTTCTTGGTGGTATGGGCATACCAAATCACCTTATCTCTCTCCTGAGGAATCTGTATAAGGATCAAGTAGCAAGAGTAAGAAGTGACCATGGAACAACAAACTGGTTCAAGATTGGGAAAGGCGTATGGCAGGGTTGTATACTCTCCCCCAACCTATTCAACTTGTATGCAGAACATATCATGCAATGTGCGGGGCTTGATGAATGCAAGGCTGGGGTGAAAATTGCTGCAAGGAGGAGCTGAGGAGCCTTCTAATCAAGGTGAAAGAAGAGGGTGCAAAAGCTGGGTTGCAGCTAAACGTAAAAATAAATTTGGCAAAAAGAATGATTGACAACTGGGAAACAGAGGGAGAAAACGTGGAGGCAGTCACAGACTTTGTATTTCTAGGTGCAAAGATTACTGCAGACATAGACTGCAGCCAGGAAATCAGAAGATGCTTACTTCTTGGGAGGAGAGCAATGACCAATCTCGATAAAATATTGAAGAGTAGAGACATCACACTGGCAATGAAGATCCGCATAGTTAAAACAATGGTATTCCCCATAGTCACCTACAGATGTGAGAGCTGGGCCATAGGGAAGGCTGAGTGAAGGAAGATAGATACTTTTGAACTGTGGTACTGGAGGAAAGTTCTAAGAGTGCCTTGGACCACAAGAAGATCCAACCAGTCCATACTTCAGGAAATAAAGCCCGACTGCTCATTGGAGGGAAGGATAGTAAAGGCAAAAATGAAGTACTTTGGTCACATCATGAGAAGAAAGGAAAGCTTAGAGAAGACAATGATGCTGGGGAAAATGGAAGGAAAAAGGAAGAGGGGCCGACCAAGGACAAGATGGATGGATGGCATCCTTGAAGTGACTGGATTGACCTTGAAGGAGCTGGGGGTGGTGATGGCCGACAGGGAGCTATGGCGTGGACTGGTCCATGAGGTCACGAAGAGTCAGAAACAACTGGATGAATGAACAACAACTGTTGACATCAACCTTGAAGTGTGGGGCTGCATGGTAAAACTGAATAAACTGGTGTGTGCCCCCCCCCCTATTAAGGCCACAGGTCCCTGGACATCATATGAGTGTCCAGGAGTGAATTCTGGGACAATTCATGGTTTCAAAAGTAGTTACAATTTTTGAGTCCACATGATGTTAACTCCTCTTTCTCCCTCTCTCCTTCCCTCCCCCCTCTTTTTTTTCTTATAGACGGCAGAGTCGAAACTATCTATTGTTTGGTCAGCAACGACCCAGACACGACACAAGACACTGACTGACTTCCTATGCATTCATATATATTAGAGAGATTTTTAAAACATCAATTTTGTTATGTTATATCTGCTTTAACAGAGGAACAGCTGATGTAAATCACAACTGCACCCTCTAGTACTATAATGTCTCAGACACCTAAGGTAGAAATACAACATGAAGTTGACTTTTTATTATCTTTAAAGTAATAGCAAGGATCCAAAGAACTGTGAAATATTTAGTTCTGTGTGCAGCCATAGGTTTTTTCAAGTTTGTATTTGTACTTTGAAAGCATTCTTCTGAGGGAGAGTTTGGAATAGGTACTCTTTATTTTATTATTTTATTTATTGAAATATATATTCATTGTGTTTCAGCCTGCCAGTGTCCCCCAGACAGTGTATAGTTGATAAAATCATGGTGTAAAAACACATCAAAACAATATTTTTAAGTCAGGAAAGTTCTAGGACAGGTAGTCCAAAACAGCAACAGAGGGAAATATCAGAAGCCAATTGTATTGAAATTAGGAGCAAGGAACATTTGTGGCGGAACGACCTGATCCCTCACTAAGCTCTCTGTGCTGTCAAACAGTAGAACTGGCAAAAAGATACTTCTGTTTTAGAAGTAGGAAATGCTTGGAGAGGTGAAAAACATCTTGGACTATAATTTACCCATCTACAGTGCAGTGCTTTGGAAAGGACATGGCTTGGAGGATGGAAGATTATTGATTAGTTAGCAGACTAAAGATTCCCAATTAAAGGCTAAAAGAAAAAGAAAGAAATGCAGTAATTCTAATGGGCATTCCTGATATGTTTGATACAAATATCTATCTAAAGCAGTGGTTCCCAACCTGTGGTCTGCAAGAACAAAAATATGTTCCACAGCCTCACCATTACTACACTGTTTCCACAAAACCACATGGCAACAGGAGCGACTGGTCTCAGGAAACCCTGAGGCAACAAGGTTGTTGGGAGGGAAGAGGCTGACTACCCATGAAAGATTACTACTACCACATCAGCTCTAGATAATTAAATATGGTTTTCTGAGGGCAAACTGATGTCAACTACTGGATGGCATATATTTTGTATCAGAAACTAGATTTCATGTGGTGTATTCAATGCAATTTTTTGAATAAGCACCCCAAATAACCAAACCAAATCTAAAGTTGACCAAAAGCTGAGTCATAGCCCTTTTGGTACTAATGTTAAAGAGTGGCCCCTGCTCAAGTGGTCCCTGGTCAAAAAAGTTTGAGAACTACTGATATAAAGCTACTACTATCTTGGGGTCAGCATTCAGCTCACTCCCAAAACTTGGTTAATGTTAATCGGCTTTGGTTTGTTCACAAATTATATATAAAACAAATGAAAAGTGAAAGCTTCCAAACTTCTGTTGGCTGTGTGGCAGGAGTGTGAGTAAATGCAGCCAGCATGGCTTAACATGAAACGGAAATGCATACATGATGGGAGGACATTTATTATATGACTATTCTGAATGTTTTGGATATATTTTGTTGTCCTGTGTCATAGACACTAAATAATACAATTCTAATTATCCCCACCTCCAAATGACAACAATAACTGTCAAAACGTTCAAGCTTTGCACTCTCTGGTCAATGGCACTATACAGTAGCAATAGTTAGGGAGGATTGGTTATAAATTATAATACAGATAACATTTGCTAGCTTTACTTGTATTTCCTTATTTCTTTTGGTTTGAGGTTTAGAATTTTTTAAAAAATAGAAGCAATATTAATGAGTTTTGTCCTTGAGTAATTTGTGGGAAAGGGAGTGACAAATAAGAAACAATGTTTAGATGTGCTATGTTAAGAAAAATAACTTGAAAACACAGATAGTTTTTATTCAAATCTAATTGAATGGGGAAAATATGTTCTATGTTTAATAAAAACAAGATCTAATTTATGTAATATGAATATAAAAACCAGAAACAAAGCCTGCTATTGTATGGTCACTGCTTTTCTAGTTTTAGCTGCAAGAATGATCAAGCTCCTTGACTGGAAACTGAAATTACATTTGTTTGGTTTATCTTGAGCATAAATAAAAGCTGAGAGAAGTGTTTCAAAAAATTCTTGTCCATCTAATTCTTCCCCTCCCCCTCACTCTTTTTTTCTCCACAGAATCAAGTTATGAAAGAGGTTAAAGTCCAGGAAGCAGATTTTCTTAGCTCAGAGGATTATAAGTGTTCAACCTCATTTTGATTCTACCTTTTGTGACGCATATTTGCTCATATTTGTTCAACTGTATTCTTGTCTTTAGACAGTCATTATGCTCTTGGAATCCATGTAGTTTTGTTGCTATAATGGAGACAACTGTATCTTTCTAGAGGTTCATCTACATTGTAGAACTAATGCAGTTAGACACCACTTCAAATATCATGGCTCAATGCTATGGAATCATAGGATCTGGAGTTTGTGGAGGCATCTCCACCCTTTGGCAAACAAGACAGAAGACCAAAGTTTGGCAAACAAGACCAAACATTAAAGCTCTTGTAAAACTACTACTCCCATTATTTCATGGTATTAAGTCATGACAAACCACATTATCTTAACACTATAAATGCATCCCAGAAGGAATCTGGATATCAATTTCTGCAATGCTGACATTGATTATTAATTCCTAGTTCTTTATTTGTGCAAACATTCAGAGCTGAATGCCAACAACAAATTTAGTGGGGACCTAAAATTTCTATGCCCCTGCATTTACCTAGGAAGTGTTGGACAATCCCATACCATATGTTTTGGAAGATGCAACAGCTTCTGAACTTGTTTTTGAAATTCTCTTGACTATTAGGGATAAAATGGCTTAAGGTGGATAAAAATTACTAACTTGACTTTTCTTTTATCATTTGCTTGCTTCTTTTATTTGCTACCAGGCCCAAAGCATTATGAGCCACATTATATCATTTGGTTCTGCTGGGCTTACTTAAATCTAGAAGAATCCTCCACCTTGTGTGACTGTGGAGCAGAACAAACAACTCCACACCTGTATGCTTGTCCACAATGTCCTGCCTCATACACAGAGGAAGATTTGTTTAAAGCTACAGACAATGTGGTCACTGTTATCTGTTTTTGGTAAAAAATTATTTAGCCACTTATGCTTCTTCTATTTTTATCAGTTGTATAATTATATATGCAATACTTTTGACATGAAATAAATAAATATCTTAAATCACTACCTTTATAAATGTACCAAAAGAACAGGTGGGGAGGCACTGTGCTCTGAATGCACAGGATAAAGAGGATCTTGCAAACTCACCCTCCCAAGGTGGCCACTTATGCCTTTGCTGGAGAAAGGACTAACGCGCCTTTCTTTCCAAAAGGGATCTCTTTCCATCATGTCCATTGAACAATATGTTATAACTTCATGATTGGTTCATCCACATTCAAGATAAGCAATGTTTTTCTCCAGTCATGACCTACTAATACAAGTTGATTTTATTTGTCAATTAGAAATAAGAAACTAGAGAAATAAATTCAACAATAGTTGGCAGACATCCCTAACCATAGAAGCATGGCTCTGGAAGAGGTTCACCAACATCAAAGGTGGAAAGTGCATGGCACTCTAGACTGCAGCTCCTATCGGTTACAGCAAATTTAGGCAATGAGCAACAAACATGGGAGCTGTTGCTCAGCAACAGTTGCAGAACTCACCTGCAAGGTGCTCTGCAAGGTGCCACTAAATTCAATGTGCTCCAATGCCTAATTTAAACAAAAGATACTGTCAAACATTTTGCAAAAGATGTTTTAAAATGTGGGAATTTTTAGAATTTTTGTTACCCCAGTTAATTCATTCATATGTCCATGAGATTGTTGTCTATACAAGCAAAACAAAATCGGCTTCAACTCACATTTTCTTAGTTTTTAGTGACCAAACTACATGCCACATGCTTCCCCTATGTGAACTCCTTCCTACATACTGGGCAGTCCTGCAGCGATCACAGGTGCTATACTTTGTCTTATTTTTGGCCACATGGCCGTGGCTATTCCCCATTCATGCAATTTAATGAACATATAGATGTCTGTATTTTATACATTGGCCATCCTATTAAATATCATAAGTGAGGATGCTCAAATATCGATATACAATAATGCTCACAAATATACCTTCAAAAAAACAATAACTGTATCTGCGCAAACTCACTTTCAAAAAAATAACAATGCATGGCAGCAAAGCTGAAGCAAGTAGCATTTCATGGCAGGAAGGATTAGGAAACCTCCCATTCATCAATGCTACCCACCCAAAATCCCACTCCCCTGCTCAACATTTAAGCTGACCCTGAGGGAACATGTAAAAGTCCCTGAGTTTTCCAGAAAAGTGTGGGATAAAAGGTCGATATTTGAAAGTTGGATTAAGCCCTCAGGTGAAAAAGAAATGAACTAGATTTAATCTTCAAGCGTATTGTGTGTTATAACAGCATCAGGTACATATTATTCTTTTCTGTGTATACTATCCCTACATGACTAAATCAAAACTTATCCTGGGCAGTGCCATTTTTGGCCTTGATATATCTGTAGATTGGAGGTGTTTAGAGCTTACTTTTGAGTGTGAGGACATATGTATCAAACTTTAGCTCTTTATGACATTTAAAAAAATAAATATTTCAGATTTTCACACAATGGAGGAAGAGGAATTAAACATACAATTTGTGCTACTCTCTCACCTTTCACTCCTTTAGTTGAGAAGCATTGCTTTCCCAGACTACCATCTTGTGTATATATGTGTATGTGCATATATGAATAGTATGTTTGATATTATCTTAAATATTATAATAGGATACAGTATTAATTATATTTCATTATATTGTGTTATTATGTAATGTATTCATTCCCACACACACACATGTGGAGAGAGAGATGTATGACTGATTCACAAACACAATGGCCTTTACCTCCCCATCACTGTCAACCATGTCAACTCAGACATATCAAAACAAATAATTTCTCCATCCATTTCCTTATTTGCATTTTTGAGAAACAAGAATACCATGATTCACCAATACCAGGATGGGATACAGAATGAATATCTTATTAAGGGGTCGAGGTGGCGCAACTGGTCAAATCGTTGAGCTGCTTAACTTGCTGACTGGAAGGCTGGAGGTTCAAATCTGCAGGACAGGATGAGCTCCCACTGTCAGCCCCAACTCCTGCCAACCTAGCAGTTCAAAAACATGCAGATGTTTATAGATCAATAGATACCTCAGAAGGAAGGTAAATGGTGCTCCATGCAATCATGCCAGCCACATGAACTGGCAGGTGTCTATAGACAACACAGGCTCTTTGGCTTTGAAATGGAGATTAGCACCTCCCCGAGCCAGACATGAGCACTACCCCCAGAGCCGGATATGAAGGGAAAGACTTTGTCTTTGTGTGTGTATCTGTGTTTCATTGTTTCGAGTCATTGAATGTTTGTCTGCCTGTGTCTTTATATGCTGGAATCTACCCTGAGTCCCCTCAGGGAGATAGGACAGAATACAAATAAATAAGTAAATAAATAAATTATTATTATTATTATTATTATTATTATTATTATTATTATTATTATTATTATTATTGTCTGAGGTAGACTATTTGGTCAGAGAAAATCGGTTTGTTTAAAATGCTGCTTACAGGTACAAGGCAGCGTAGAGCAGTGAGTAGCCTTAGACATATTTAACTCTTATAAATCAGGAGTCAAGCTGGCAAGAACTAACGATATTTGGAAGCCTATTAGGAAACAAAAAATAACCTTTAAATTCACATAAGCAAGAAGAGAAAGGTTGTGCCACCCTTTATTAATTGCTCTTCAGGTCATATAACCACACTTCACTCTGTAGCTCTTGGTCAAACTGGGAGAGAAAGAAATGGCATTTTCCTTGCTTAAAGAATACTGTGATTTGTGGAACAATCATATCATTGCAACAAAAATATGGTTTGGAGTAAAATCACGGTTTAAACGTTTTCATTGGAGTAGGGCAAAACCTGAGGTCATGTATATGGTGAAAAATATATGTTCTGAACAAACATACTTCAAAACAATGTATTTATTGGAAGAAAAGTTGCACATCCATAGGAGAAAAATATATTTGCAATATATTCATTGGATTTCAACAAATACATAGATCAAGTCCAATGGTACAATTATTTTAGACCATGGATTTCATGGCCTTAAGGTGAACCCTGCTTTAGATGGGAATTGCAAATCCAGACGTGATTTTATATTCCAAAATCCTAATCTCATTTCATTTCAAATCAAGTCTCTTAATGTTTTGGCCCACACGGTGTCCTAATATTTTAATGATGATCACAGACTTTATCTTGACAGATTTCACATGTTTGGGAATTATCATTTTGTAAGTATTAAAGCACTTTGTACAGGTAACATATATTGAATGTTGCTCACATGATCAAAAGGTTTATAGCTCCATGCACCTGAGTGGGATCATATTCCTTTAAGAAGTCTCAACAGGTGGATGGATGTACGGGGTTGGAACTAAGAGGAGGTCTTACAACACTTTCATTTCTTGTGAAGTCCAGTGTTGTGCCAGCTGTACTTAGGAAGTCCAGGAACAAACAGCAACAAAAGAGAAGTGCCTCAGGGGTCAGCGTTTTTCGCCCCTTTAGTCATACCAGGAGGATTAAAGTGACAAGAAAAGGAGAATTTGTACCTCTGACTTACTCTGCACAATTAACCAGGAGTGTGAGTAATATTTATTTACTATTGCTGCATTTCTAACATGATCTCACATACACACAAAAACAACCCAAAGAATAAGTGGAAATCTGAACATTTTTTCTTTCATGCTCTGTACTACTAGACCTTGCAAAAATGAATTCTTAGAGGTGAACAGTATGTGTCTGTGTGTATCTATGCATGCACACACACATACATATTAGAACTGATCCAAATATCTTCTGCACAATTATTTTGAGTATTGCACTTTGTCATGTGTCATGTCAGATTTTAAATCTCCAATTACATAACATATATTTGTGAGCGCTTCAGCTAATTTTCCACTATATTTATCTGAGTTTGAGCTACACTGATTTCGATGTACCTTACTTTGGGTATTTAGGAACTTAGGCTATGCAAATAGCTTAGAAAAAGGCATAAAGAACAGGTGCTTTATGGAGAAAACAATGGACAATAGAGCAATAACAGATCCATTATGTATTTGTGTATGTATGCATTTATTTATCTTTTAGTGTAGGTTAGGTCTGAAAATAGTACAGGATGACTGCTGGGACAGTGAAAGTCACACTCTTCCATTACATTAGAATGGTCTTTTCCTATCTGACACGTACTGAAATGTTGAACCATCTTATAATCAATCTGCTAACAATATTCTGATTTGCACTACCGGCTGGGACATCATGGAATTGTAGTCTTCTGCAAAAAATGTCACTCTGCAGGAGGAAAGCAGCCTGGGACTGTCTGATGCACACAACATGCCACACGAGTGACCAAAACAACTATTATAAACTTTGGACTACTTCAGCAAAAGAAAGTTTTTTTGGTTTATTTTGCAGAAGCAGGAACTTCAAAGTTCCCTCATGATCTACTGTGAACAAAATTCAGTAAGGACAGTAACAGAAACAAATTAGTGATACTATTATTGTAAAGGTCTTCTTTTGAAATCTCAAAAGTGTTTTGCCAGAGTAAAAATTTTACTTGTCAAAAGTGAGCAGAAACACAGGATATTAAAAGGCTATTATGAAGAACAAATGTAATCGTATGGTCTAGCTGTTAGATCATTTCTTTTTACTCATAAGTGAAGTGAGATGCCTTTGAGGATAACTGAGTTTTTGTTATTGTTTTAGCATCCATTCAGAGCAAAATGAATTTAGGCTCCAAACTGCATTGGGCCTTTACATTATGTTTACTTGTGAGTACAAACAGAAAATTCTCACAACTGACTGCTTTGTACTGAATGTACAATCTAATTTGACACACACACACACACATTTATTTCTCCATTTATCCACTTCACAGCATTATGTGGATCAACCCATCAAAACCCAAACACAAGGTCCACAGGCAGGGTATACATGACTGCACATACTTGTGCATGCAAACAAGTGGTGGCAGGTGTTGTTGGTGCTGCTATTTGCCATCAACTCCACTTCAATGGTGAACTTATGAATGAGAGACCTACAAGATCCCCAACCCTTCCTCTTTTCATAATGCCTTTCCTTTTACCATGCATTATTGTATTTTACAATGAGTCATACTTCTCATGAAATGTCCAAAATACAACAGCCTCACTCTAGTTATTTTGAATTCTAGTAAGAGCTCTAAAATCAATGTATTTGTCTCTTGAGCAGTCAATGTTATCTGTAGGACTTCTCTGTAGCACTACATTTCAGATGAATTGTTTTTCCTTCTGTTTGCTTCTTTAACTGTCCTGATTTCACATATATACAGAAATTAAGTGCTATGGTCTGGATAATTCTGATGTTGATATTTAATGACATGTCTTTACACTTGACACTTAAAACTAATTCACAACTGCCTTAGTCTTCCGATTTTTGACTGCAGCCTCCATTTGATTTAATGACTGCGTAAAGGTATAATAAACTTTTAATGATTTTACTGTCTTCATGTCCCACTTTAAAACAAAAAGCCAAATTCTAGAGAGGTGTGGGTTAGTCTTTTGTTGTGGTCAGAATAAAACAAGTAAGGAGAATGAGGTATCATTGTGTCTCAAGGTGCCACTAGCTCTTTCACACTACAACAGTTATAGAGCTCTGAAGCCAATGTAACTTTTATGGCACTTTTTGATGAGTCCTGAGACTGGCAATGAATGGTGATTGTATTATTATGACTCTAAAAATTGAACTTATAACTTATAAAAAATTATTCTCTTCTTTGAATAAAGAGCGCAAGAGCTTAATCCATCCCAGGAGAACCTAAAAAAGCAACTTTCTCTGCCATGGTGCCATTTCTGGCCTTTTAATATACCTGGGTGAGGAAATAGTAGTGATGGCCAGGGACAGCTGCTCCCCTAAGGCAGCATTGATGCTTTCTCTTCTCCAGAAAGATTCTCAACTTACCTGCGGGTCCTATAAAAACCCATACTCTTTCACTTATACATGAGATCGACTTATACATGAGTATTTATAATACTTTGTTGAATCAACAGTCAAGGCCCACATCTTTTCATCTACCTTTTCCCCTTGCTGTTTTCAAAGAATTTCTCTTCCCAGATATAACAAGGCCAGCAATAATGAAGACCCAGATTTCTTCCAACTCTGTGAGTCCATAACTCTATGACACTATTGGAGGGATGTGCTGGAAAATCACCTGTGCTGTGGGGCATTTGAACTTTGTTGTGTTCCACCAATAATAATAATAATAATAATAATAATAATAATAATAATAATAATAATAATAATCTTTATTTATACCCCGCCACCATCTCCCCAATGGGGACTCGGGGCGGCTTACATGAGGCCAATCCCAATCAACAGATTTACAACAAAATAAAATCAAAAACACATGAAATGAACAACAACATCATAATTACATAAAACATATGAATACATTAACGATATAGGATTACAATAAACACAGTTACAATGGGCGGCTACATGTGCAAGAAAATGGTTAAAAAACCAATTAAAACCTTATTAAAAACACGGGTGACATAAAAGGAGAAGCAGGTTATTTGCGGAGGGGGGCTCATTAAAATGAGGATTGTGGAATCGAGCTTTCCCATGCCGGGGGGGGGGGGGGGGGGGGTAAGGGGGGGGGGGTGTATAATCCAAGGGCAAAAACCTTGAGGCTGAGCAATAGTATGAGGTTGTATACCCACTCACCAAAGGCGCAGTGGAAGAGCCAGGTTTTAAGGTTCTTTTTAAAGGTTTCTAAGGTAGGGGCTTTCCTAATCTCTCCAGGTAATGAGTTCCAGAGTCGGGGGGGGGGGGCACAGAGGAGAAAACTTTCTCCCTTGTGCTCACCAGGCGAGCTTGTGAAACTGGCAGGGGCGAAAGAAGGGCCTCCTATGGCTGTTCTCCATGATGCCACTACCTTCTTTCACAGTATACAGAGGATGCAGGTGTCAATGTGAATTCTGCCTTTATTTTCACTGCCTTTCTTCCCTTCTTCTATGCAAGGAAGATGCAAAATGCTGCTGCACCCCGTTTGAATTGTGGAAGGTTTCAATGTTTCCCTTTCCTGTGTAATAGGATAGTTGGGTGACTGTTGTGCACATATTGTGTCTGTGGAAGCACTTGCACAACCAAGACTGAAAACGTCTCTCTGATGTGTTCATATTGCTTTACTTCCCATGCCATCTATGGAGAAATAAGCCCTTTGTGTAATTGCAAGGTAGCATTAACCCCCAAATAAGCTGTATCTTTCTGGTTTACACTTATCTGCACAAGATATTTATTGGTAGACTTAAGAAAGCTGGGAACATCATTACATTATTTTCTCATAATGTGACAGTAACAAGAATGTTAAAAATACTGTGAACCACTGCATAGTCAGACACTGAAACTGCTAAAATGCAAATTCAACTGCTGAGGTTAAAACTCGCCTGTCCCTCAACTTCCCGCTCCTTGATATGCATCAGTGATTTTATCACTAGTCAAATTTGTATTTGTACTGGCACTCATCTCCCCACCCCCCACTCCCGGTTGCCACAAACAAAAGGAGATTTTGTGTTGCTACTCTCATATTTCCTTGATACTTTCCTTCTAAATATTTGAGATTTTTCATTGTGTACTAAAGCCTTTCTTGCAGAAGTGAAAGCAGGTTCATAGACTTATCAATACCTTAGTATCCTCATTCCCATGTGTGAACAGTCTTTGTGATAGAATGCCTTATCATATCTGTATTGATTTGGAATGCATTAGAAGACATATCGGAAATTTAATTGGAGTGGGAACTGTTCGCCCTCCAGATGTTGATTTGTAACTTCCAGAATTTTTAATCCTGCCAGTGTTAGTTAGGGTTGGTGGGATTTAATGCTTAACACTATATGGAAGGTATCACACTTCCCATTGTTAATGGCAGGGTATAAATAAAGTTTATTATTATAACACTATCAATGATTTTTAACTTTCCTGGATGTCAATGGCAGATCTTAGAGAATACTGGCATTTACTCAAAGTCAGATATTAGTCCCAAACAAGTGTCTTTTATGTTTTTTTGCAATTTAACAGCAAAGGACAATTATCATTTAAATTTAAATTTTATGTATGCCTTATGTTTAATGGTTTTTAATTTATTTTAAATTCTTAGTTATATGTAATAATTAATTATTATGATTTCTTTCTGTACTGTATTTTGGCATTGAATTTTTGCCATTAGTATGATTTAAACCACCTTGAGTCCCCCCAGGGGTGAGAAAGGCGATATATAAATACAGCAAATAAATAAATAATCACTGTACAGCTCTCTTCACATCAGGAAAACCTCAATTTCTTTTCATTCATTTATTTATTTACCTTATTTATACCCCACTCTTCTCAAGCCCATAGGGGACTTAAGGCAGCTTGCATATATAGGTAAAATTTGATGCCATGTAAAACATTCATATTACACACACACACACACAAAGTTGAAGTACTTTGGCCACATCATGAGAAGACAGCAAAGCCTAGAGAAGACAATTATGCTGGGGAAAGTGGAAGGCAAAAGAAAGAGGGGCCGACCAAGGGCAAGATGGATGGATGGCATCCTTGAAGTGACTG